TTTTTTTTTTTTTTTTTTTTTTTTTTGGGTCCGGACATTTTTGCAGCCCGGGGACCAGTCCGGACTATCCCGGTGTCCGATGATGTCCAGTGTCCGGTGATGTCCGAATCACCGGACAACGCGGACCTCCGACCGGTTGTCCAGTCCTAGCCACCCCTCGAAAAATAACAGGGTGAATTTTAAGTGTGCTTTCACCCCACTGGACATGGCCTAGAGGTCCAGTGTTGCATACTCGTGAAACACAGTCATAAGTATGACGCAAATTTCCAAAACCGACCAGATAATACAGAGTTAATACAAATGCAAGCGGAAGACTTGAGATACCTTGGACTGACTCGGACCTGACCCGGACTGCAATCGAACGTTCTCAAACATTCATCAGGGGTGTGAATGCCCAGGCCTCAGACATAGACGAAGGGCCAGAGACTAAGATCATCCACGGACGAAGGGAGAGAGGAAAGATACGAAGGAGGAGGAGAGGGAAGATGATGTCAACGCAATGTTTCCAAAGATAGTATCTTGAATTGTCAGAAGTGACGAAAATCCGAAATGTCGCGAGTCTCACAGTATCCCAGATACCAATCTCACAATGTCAAGTACATCTCCCGACGGAAGATGAAATCAGATCCCCAAAGAGTCCTCAACTCGTAGTCCCAATGTCGCTGTTCCAAATATTATGAGAGTTTGTAACCATCCTTCATACTGCAGTAGTCCCATAGGAGAACCCAGAATTAGACTGAGACTGAGAAGGTAGGAGGAGAGAGCGAGAGAGAGAGAGAGAGGAGAGAGGAGCGGTGGAGGAGATGAGGGAGAGAAGGCGAAGCCTTCCTCCCTGGTACGTGGCTATGACGCCACAAGGGGCTGGGCCGGTAACTGGCGCTGCGCTCAATGCTGCGCTAATCTCCTCGCTGCTGAACTCTTGCTCGCTCGCTGCTCCTCGGTGTGCTAATAGAGCTAACGCAAGGCTGCAGCGCTAATCCTGAAGACTAACCTCGTCCATACTAACTCTGCCTACTGAGGCTGGTACCCAGCCTTTTGTAGTGTTGGGCCGGCCTCCTACCCGCTGGTACCTACCGGCCTGGACCGTTGATCTAGATCAATGGTCCAGTTTCAAAACTCGTTGGCGCCTAAACTGTGGCAGCCTCTGCAGCGCCGCCGGTAGGTCCTATGCCGGACCGGTACCGGCCTTGTGGTCGTTTGGCCTGGGCCTGCCTGAACCGTCATAGTCCAGGCCCATCTGGGCCTCAACTAAACCGTCGTCCCTTAGGCTTACCCTGCCTGTCTGGAACCGGGTTCCCGTGTGGCTCAGAATGCCACATCCCGACACAAGACACTGCAGGTTTTTGAGGTGGCGGGTTTCGCACAGGCCCGAGCAATTTCAAAGCGGTCGTGTTGATGTGGCGCCCGCCGCTCCTTCCCGTGGGGAGAGAGAGAGAGAGAGAGAGAGAGAGAGAGAGAGAGAGAGAGAGAGAGAGAGAGAGAGAGAGAGAGAGA